AGCGCAGGCGCCCTAGAGAAAAAAACCCCCCAAAAAAAAAAAAAAAAAAAAGATAAAAATAGCAATCCTGAGTACAGTAATAATTGCTGACATGTAAAAAAAAAAATACAAATAGTTTCCTAATCCCTGATCTTGTTTGAATATTTCTAGCTCACATAGGGTAGCAGTAGCATAGCTCTTAAAATATGAAAATATATAACTTGTGCCTGACCCTGGGTTCTTACAGTATTGCACGTAAACTCATGACACTCTTAGTATCTCATTTAACATTCATATTAATGCATGGAGAAATAGTGTGGATTTTTTTCTAATTGAAATTTGTTGTCACATTTTGTTTCAGGGTTAAATAAAATGATCAAATAATGTCAGTTTATCAGTAAGCAATCTTCCTATAACCCCGATTCTTCTTCGAGTTGGGCTTTCATAAATACCTTTTTGTTTCCCAGGAAACTGAGGATGTTCAACTGCCTCACATATTTAAGTTTTAATAGATTAGAAACAATAACAAACCTGTGATCACGAACCAAGCTGCTTATTGAGTTATTCTATTTAAAAATGTTTTCTGAGAAAACAAAAGGTCAAGTGAACCAGACATTGGGTTATTTGGTTTAATTTTCTGGAAAATAGGATTGCGTTTATCAGATCTCAGTGTCTCTGGGTCCTCATGCTCGGCTGACAGCTTGACAGTGGCTCTGCTGTGGTGGAGATGGGTGGGGGGAAGTGCTTTGTCAGCAAAACCGCCTGTAAACTGAGCTGAGGGGACCAGGATCACCTCCTCTTGACCTGCAGATCAGTGAGGGTTTTGTCAGCATCAGAAAATGGCTGCAAGATTTCCTTTAAAGCTCATTTTGATTTGGAAAGTAACATCTGAGGCAGGGCTACTGTAAGATGTCATATCGTATCCCTCCTACGAACCACATGCAGTGCCCGTTCAGTGAAACCGTAGCATGTGGTAAGTGTTCTTTTGCAACCAGAATTGTTGGGAAATCACAGCTACATACGACGAATGCAAGCAGATTTGCTAATACAGAGAATAGACATTTTCCTAGGGTGTAAAAACCCAGGCACAGTTGGTCTCCTTTCCTTAAAGATAAGGAAGGATGAGTTTGCCAATTAACTTAACAAGTTGAAATTAAGTTTAAGCTTTCATATGTGGAGACATTTTATGTCACTGTTAGCACATAATCCAGATTCGAAACACAGAAGCAAATGACTTTCTTTTCACTCCTAAATCCACGATGACAATTAAGAATACAGTGACTGATTTTTTTCCCCTAAATATATTTCTTTTTATGAATGTCTTTACTCAACAGGATTTATCTGTTTACCTTAGAATTAAAAAAAAAAAATTTGAGGTGGCTTTACAAAAGGAAAAGGAGGATAAAGAAGAACAAGATCAAGATTAAAAGCTAATTAGAAAACACAGAGAATTAGACAGTATCAGGCATTGAAAATGTGTTCTAGTGCAATTGAGTACTGAATTTGACCACTCAAGGGAAATGCATAGAATTGTGTTTGTCTTATAAAAGAATTGATTTTTTTAAATTTTCTTTTCTGCTTTTTCTTTTCCTTTCTCTCTTCTCTCCTCTCTACCTTTATTGTCATTCTCTCTCTCTCTCTTTTGCATAGACAGACTGGTTTTTATTTGTTTGTTTGATTCTTTAGAATAAATCTGCCACTTATGATTGGTGGAATAGGCAGAACCTATACCTTTTAAGAAAGAACTTTTATTTTACTGCTTGAGTGTTAGAGAACAGCCAGTAAGTAAGAGTGATGTCATTTCAGTGTACTGGCTTTGAGGACCATGGAGTTAAACATCTGCATTTGGGCTTCTGCTAGACCAAGTTTTATGAAAAAATAAAGCTCCTGGGTGTTGTAGCAGCTATTATTTTGGGGAGAGGAGGCCTCTTTTCTTTGTAAGGGAACGCAGTTGCCCACTGACATAACAAGTTCATTATACTCATTTTACAGACGTGAAAACAGAAGCTTAGATTTGTCAGTTGCTTTCCTTGCTGTATGGGCAGTATAGGGTGAGATTTTATGTACTGGGATCAAACTACTGGAGTTTCACATTTTGAGTTTGGCTCTGTGACCTTGGTTCATTTGTTTAATTTCATGGAGCCATGATTTTCCCATTTGTAAAAGAAAAGTAATATTAAAACATTTATCACTGGCTTCTTCTAAGATGACATTTTATATATATATATGTATGTATATATATATATATATGAATGAGAGACCTTCTTTAGTAGGCAATATCTAGATATTTTCTACCCAGGGATGTTATTTGCACTGTTTTCAAATATAAATTATTGATATTATTAAATGATTCCCTAATAATCTATCAAAATCAGGCAGACATAAATCAATAATAGCAGAGAACTCTAATGTAATTTGTATAGCCACAGTTGATGACTTTTGTCAGATATTATTGGGAAACCCCAGAGAAATAATTTATTATAGAAATAATAGAACACAAGGACCAGCATTTAGCATAATGGCTATGTCACTGGTCTCCCATGTAGTCAACCACGGTTCAAGTCCTCGACCTGGTGGCTTAAACTCACGCCGGGCATGTGTGCGTGCGTGCCCAAGATCCCGAGAGGAGAATGGAGGAGAAGGGATTGCGGCGTGACCATCCCCCCTGGGGGGGGATTTCTCACTTTCTGTCTCTGTGTCTCTCTCTGTCTTCCTGGCGAGCGCACGCGCTCTATAGCAAAAACCTCAAAAAAAAAAAAAAAAGAAAAAAAAGAAATAATAGAACACTAATAAAATACATAATATATGTATGTATATATGTGTACATGCATACATATATGCCACGTTATGTCCCAAAGTTGAAATGTAGTGTTTTGAGGTTGGAAGACTCCACTAGCAATATTTCTTATTTTGCAGAAGATTAAACTGAGGAATAGGAATGGTTTTCTTACAGCCACATAGCAAAGATACTAATAATAAGACTCAAGATGCCTTAAGCTTTAATTTTCTTCTTTCCTTTTCTTTTTTTGTTCAGTTGTTCTTACCACTCAGTCTTGAAGCTCAGCTAATTGATGATGTGTACCGTGTACTATTTTAATAGTGTTAAGCTATGAATAACTTAGACTAGTGACTTCTGGGTACTGTTCAGAGTATTGCATGTTTGTTTCCAGCAATGAAAATAATGTGACCATTTTTTAAAACTGTTTAGAAATGTCATTTTGATGTAATATAGTCCCACCCATTAAAATGGCCTACTATTTTAACTATTTGTTTTTTTCTAGCCATCCATCAAAAACTAGAAGCGGATGGAACGGAAAAAGTAGAAGGATCCATGACGCAGAAACTGGAGAATGTTCTGAACAGTAAGTTTTGTCCTACTGCCCAAACTGTTTATGGACTTTACAACAAGTTTTAATAGAATTCTTGGACCTGATTTCACAGGACCAGGCAGTAAATTGCATTTGGGTATTTATTTCTAAATAGTAATGACTTAGCGAACGTAAAGGGGAAAAGAAACATTGAAAATGAATGCTGTGTTTCTGTTTGCGTTTTATTTATGAGAAACCATCATTTGAAAACAAGCCAGCGTATTTCCCAAGACATAAAATTTGCTACCATAAAACAGGTCAGCGTATAAAGAGCGTCATCAAAGATAGAAAAGCACTGAGTCAGTAGCTAGGATTGTCATTGACCAAACCCCCGCAAAAGCCATCTTCCTAGCATCTACCAGTGTTAATACAAACAGCTTCAACCACTAGAATGACAGATGCTCAGCGCCATTTGTTTGTTTACACCTTGCCTCTTTTCAAGAAGAATTTAAGGCCGTTGGGTCTAACCCTGAAACATTTTGTCAACCCTGAAACATTCTGTCACGATTGTGGCCCAGGAGGAAGTGACATAAACAAAGCAATAGGCCCTGCCACTTCCCTTTCTATGTTTGTCCGGACATCGTAGGTCCCAGCTCTTTATCCTAGTGATTTGGGAGAAACTCATCAGGTGGATTAATCTTTATTATATTAGCCACTTAAAAGTAAGTTTTCCGAAATGTAATACACTGTAAAGTTATATGTGATTCAATGTAATATAAACAAGATTGTGATGATAATAGGTAAATTTTTAAAAAGTTTAAAAAAGAGGGACCAGCAGTTGGCGTAATGGCTATGTCGCTGGACTCCCACGTAGTTGACTGTGGTTCGCGTCTCGGACCCGGTGGCTTAAACTCACGCCGGACGTGTGTGTGTGCTTGCCCAAGATCCCGAGAGGAGAATGGAGGAGAAGGGATTGCAGCGTGGCCATCCCCCCTGGGGGGTGGTTTCTCGCTTTCTGTCTCTCTGTCTGTCTCTCTCCTTCTGGTGAGCACACGTGCCCTATATAGTAAAATCTTCTAAAAAAAAAAAAGTTTAAAGAAAGAAAAAGAAAAAGTAAGTTTTCCGCCTTTGTGTCTATATAGTAGTTCACATTTGATATGAAGCGATCATGCCTGTGGGGATCGCTTTTAAAATGTAAGCATATGATTTCTTCATGAAGTTGAGTTAAGGATAACTTTAAAAATGCAGGAACCTCGCATCAGATCTTTAAATGTTTTATGGATGCAGGATTGTGATAGGAAGTTATTTATACTTCAAGCTTCATTTAGTCTCATGAGCAGAACTTTCTGAGCTTTTGTGTACATATCTGCCCACAAACCTGGGGAATATCTAATAAAAAGTCTTTTCTAGAAAGAAGCCTTCATTTGATGTCGGTTTCTCTTGGTAGAATTTGAGTACTTAGATTTCATTCTGAATTTGTAAATTTAATAGCCCTTATAATTTTTTTCTCTGATTATTAATATTACTGTTATTACTTACTTGCCTTGAGATTTTTTTTGCCTTATTTTTGTTTCTGAAAACCAGCTCACGGACTCTGTTAAAATGAGTATGTTGTGAATTTAACCCAAATAAATATTTACTGAAACTATTTCTGAATTAGCACAGTTAGACATTTTAAGGTCTTGGCAGGATATTTTCTACCCAGGGATGTTATTTGCACTGGGGAACTTGTCATCAAACCACAATGTCTGTTCAAAAAATGAGCGTACCTGAGTAACTTTTAAAAGGTGACCTGAATCTTTGAAAGAGATACTTGTTAAGGCTTGCAAAATACCAAGGTTTTGTTTGTGTGTAAGGTTTAGCATAGTGTGGTAATGTAATTTTTTTCTTTTAAGTAGTGGCTTGGGAAATCCTCCCTTGGGACATAAGGTGTAAAAATTGAAGGGAAATTGTTTTACTTATGTTCGTTTATAACCACCAACTTTTTCTAAAAATATGCCATATTAACTTTCTGTTGCAATTTGTTCCTTATGGATAAAGTTGAGCTTAATGTAAACTGTCACTTCTTTATGAGACTCTCCTTCAGGACTTTCTGGTATAAAAATCTTCTTTAAAATAATATTTCTTAACAGTTAGTTGCCTTTTCCGCAGAAACTTTCTTGTCATCATAGATTGATATTTGCTATCTTAGGGTAAGGTTTTGCTAACTTGGATCCCCTTGGCAAACATTTATTCAAAGTTGCGTGCCAGACCAGGTAGGGTCCGAGGCCCGAAGGGAGATCACAGTTACCCAGGACTTCCAGTGCGGTGGCGCCCGCGTAAAACACAGAGAATTAAAATCAGGAAGAGAGATTACAGATGTACTACAGAACATTTAATTTATTTTCTTTTGAAAAAGAAAGGATACATGAGTATGCATGGAAGTTGCTTAGATTATTACTGATGCTTTTATTGTATCCTTAGATGGTAATTTGTGTATGGATTTTTTTCTTCAGTTTGTTTCGCAGTTTGGTACATCTTCATCATGTAAACTACATTTCTAAAGGATAATATTGGTCCTTTGTATTCCAAGTTCATCAGTGTTGACCCCTTTCATTAAATTATTTTTCATCGGGGCCCACAAGTGGCATAGTGGTTAAGATACTGGACTTCTATATGGTTGACTGAGGCTTAAGGACCCAGTGGCTTGAAACAGGTGCCAGGCACATGTGCATGCATGCTCAAAATTCCGACGGGAGAATGAAGGAGAAGGGATCGCAGTGTGGCCATTCCCCAAGGGGAGGATTTCTTAACTTTCTATCTCTGTCTCTCTGGCGAGCAGACATACCCTAAAGCAAAAATCTCTCAAAAAATAATTATTTTTTCATTGCTATATCTGTTAGTTTTGTTTTAGACTTAACAATTCTTTTCTGATTTCAAGTCAGTGATGAATTCAGTTAATTGATTTATTTCCATTAAATTCACACGTCTGACTTTACATCTAAACCTATTCTAAGAATACAGAGCAGCGCTGTTGAGTAGAACTTCTACAATGATGAACATGTAGCTATTACATACTTCAAATATGGCTATTACAGCTGAGGAATTGAATTTTAAATTTTTATTTAACTTTGATTAATGTATCTTTAAATCGAAATAACCCTGTGTGACTCTTGCCACCATGCGAGCCAGCGCAGGTATAGACAGACAGTGCAGTGAAAAAATATCTACAGCAGCAGTTGTGGTCCCAGTAACTAAAACTCTTGCCATGCCTGCTAAAGGTCGGGTGCTGCCCTAGTCCTCATGGCGACCCTACGATTCTTACACTATGACTGCCGTTATTGATGAAAACTAAAGCAGCCCAGGAGAGTAAACGAACCGGATGGCACTACTGGGGTTTATATTCCAGGACTCTAACTCCAAACCTGTGTTGCAAACTACAGATGGTCCTTGCAGTGCATGGTTTTGATAGGCACGATTGCAGTTATCACAGTTGAGTTGGTCCCTGAACTCCCAAACAACACAGTTCAACTTTCAGATAGCACAGTGTACTCGCTTGAACTGCACGAAGTATACACTTCCCTGCTACGTCTTAGTCCATGGATAACTGCTTACGTGATAGATCTGCAAGATGATTTGCGGCCAACCTGTCACTTCCTTCACAGTCTCACGACATGTCGCTGCACATCTGCGGTCAGTTCACGCACAAACAGGAAAACTTTTAGTTGGGTTTCCTCTTTTTTTTTTTGGAGAGATTTTCACTGTAGGGCGCGTGCGCTCGCCAGACAGACAGAGAGAGACATAGAGACAGAAAGCGAGAAATCACCCCCCAGGGGGGATGGTCACGCCGCAATCCCTTCTCCTCCATTCTCCTCTCGGGATCTTGGGCACGCACGCACACGGGCCCGGCGTGAGTTTTAAGCCACCGGGTCCGGGACACGAACCGCGGTCGACTACGTGGGAGCCCAGCGACATAGCCATTACGCTAACTGCTGGTTCCCGTTGGGTTTCCTCTTTACCTCCCAGTAATACACCCATGCGGCTTTTTTTTTTTTTTTAACAAATTCATAATCAGTGGGGCCAGCAGGTGGCATGATGATTAGGGCTCTGGATTCCCATGTGCCTGACCACAGTTTGAATCCCAGACCTAATGGCTTGAGAATCATGCCAGGCACGTGTGTATGCGTGCCCAAATGCCCAGGAGGAGAATGGAGAAGAGATTGCAATGTGGCTATCCACGGGGGAGAGGGAGATTTTTCACTTTTCCTCTCTTTATCTCTCCCCAGTGAGCACACACACCCTAGGGCCAAAACCTAAAAAAAAAAAAAAAATTAAAACAATTCATAATTGAAAGGGGAATTTGCTTATAAAGATGAAAGTGTATTAAAAACTGAAATGTGGTAACACTGTAAGTGAAGTAAAATCTAATATGAATGGATTTATAGAAGACATAGCTGGTGGTGGGAATGTGGACCCCAGCGCTGTTCAAGACTTGAGAGGTGGAGGAACTCAGTGACGAGGAACTTGCCAACATAAACGAGGAAAGTGTTTGTGGGAAAAGGAGGAGGAGAGGTTGCAAAGGTATTACGGTGTAAACCCTCAGAGAGATTTCCTGACACTGACAGTACAGAGGACAAAAAGTCGGTAGCTGATTCGCACTTACAGTTTATCAAAGAATAGGAAAGATGCTTGATACACATTGTAACTTTTATGACAAAAAAATCAAGGCAAATACTCTTGATGAGTTTTTCTGCAAAGAAATAAAACACTTTAATTTTCCATGCCTCTAATGTTTTCCTTTTTTTTTAATATTTATTTATTTTATTTTATTCATTCACTTATTTTATTTTGATGAGAGAGAGAGAGAGCGTGCAAGCGCAAACCACCAGGTCTGAGACTCAAACCGTGGTTGGCTATGTGGGATGTCCAGAGCCTTTAACCACCATGCCACCTGCTGGTTCCTGTAATGTTTTGAATTAAAGTTTACTGGGGCCAGCATATGGTTAGTAGTGACATCTCTGGACTCCCACATGGTTGACTGTGGTTCTAGTCCTGGACCTGGTGACTTGAAAATCGCATCAGGTGTGTGTGTGTGTGTGTGTGTGTGTGTGTGTGTGTGTGTGTGTCTAAGATCCTGGGAGGAGAATGGAGGAGAAAGGATTGTGGCATGGCCATCCGCCTTGAGGGGTGATTGATTGTTCACTTTCCCTCCCGCTATCTCAGTCTCTTTCTGATGAGCACACATACCCTAAAGCAAAAACCTCTTAAAAAATAAATGAAATAAATAGAGTGAAGGTTACTAACTAACTAGTTTACTGCTTTTTAGCTACTTTACTATTTGCTAGTTTCTATTTTTACTAGTTTACTATTTTTTTTTTTTGTTTTTCTCTTCATCCGTAACCAACAATAAACACGGTTTTAATGGTTCAGTAAAAAGTTTTAGCAGTCACAGCAGAGCTGTGATTTTCCATCGATGACTAGACACACTTCATCCAGCTGGTGCAGCCATTGCAGTGACGCATCATGGACACACACGCCACGCACAGAGGCCTGCCGATGCCGCACTGTGCTGCCCCTCCTCCCTGGGGTAGAACTGGCCATTGAGTCAAAGACGGAATTCTAGTCCTAGACAGATGAGAAATGCTAAGGGGAAGACGAAGTATTTGGTCACTGGTTTGGTGCGTGAAGTAGGAAAAAGGAAACACTGAAATGCTGACTTTCAGATTTCTGGCCTCATTTGGAGGAGGGAAAGA